CATGTAGGGATCCTTCAGAGATCCCTTATTTATAGATTTTCCCAAAAGAGATAAAACTTTCCCAGAGAAAGTTGTTACATCTAAAATATATGGACTAGTTAGGGTTTCACCAAATGTCCATCCTTGGTTCTTAAGTTCCTTCTCTTTACCGACATGAACATGTGAGCACGAGTGTTGTTATTGCCCCTTCTGGGTTCTCAGGTGTCTATGCTAGGGGAAGTTTTAACTTGAGAATGTTTGGGTGTCAACTCGCGTATGTGATGAACAACATGAAGCTGTTGTAGAATCGTAATACACATTCCTAGGGTTCAAGCACAATGAAGGACTGTGACAATCCTAGTACGATGTAGATCAAGGCATGATACATGTTGCAGAGCCTTTGTTATGATGAAAAGTGAAAACCATAGGCTGCGTTTGAAAATGATGCAAATGGAGTGTAAATCCCGGTTCAGGGTAAATTTGCACTCTCGTTCACTTTTGTGTTTTTGCCTGTGTTGGTAAATTTATCAGTGCAAAACTAACCCAATTTTGCAATTTATTTGAACCGTTTTACACTCTACATATTTGCATTTACACTTATTCGCATCATTTCCAAACGTAACCATAAGAGCAAATTTCTTAAAGTACCCTTATGGTTTAGGAAATTGACTAGGGGTGTTCACATTAAATGTCAAACCGACCAAACCCGAGTTGGTCGGTTTTACAAAACCACCGATCGGTTTCGGTTTGTGTGAGAAAATAAACCAACAACTCGGTTTTGTTTCGGTTTTCATGTAATTGAACCGAACTGATCCTGTATGTCTAAATAATTACTAATTARTCCCAACCCTATACGTTAAATGTTAATATATTTTATTTGTGTTTTGTTTGAACTTTGAAAAAAAATTGGTTATGTATGATAAAAACTAAAAATGCAAAACCAATACAAATATTATACAATGGTACAATATCTAATTCAGTTTTGTATAAATAAATAAATATATATATATATATATATATTGACAAAAAATTAACTAATCAATTTAAATATATATTTTGGGTTTACATAAAACTAAAAAGAAATAAATTTAAATATAAATAGATATTTAGATAAAAACATTTCAGTTTAAAAATATATAAAAAACCAACTAAACCAATAATCCAACCCTTCATGTTTGGGTTTGTTTTGCTTCAGGGTAGATTGATTTCGATTTAGTCAATAAGTAAATTGACTAGGTCGGGTAGGTTGATGAAATTCATTCAAACTGACCCAAACTGACCCATGAACACCCCTATAACTCTACCCTTACTATTTCCATATTGTCTTAAAGTACCCTTAAGTTTTTTGATAATCGATAGAAAAAATGAAATATCGGATTTATCCTCCACTATTCTTCAAATTTTCAAAATAAAATTCAACTGATGAAAAATTTCCCAAACTGTTACTCGCTGGTTATTCAGTCTTCTAAAATCTCTCTACTCCGTTGCTCAATGTATATCATCTTCTTGATGCCCGAAAAAAGCCTCTTTACCTTTTGGGCTTTGGCAATCAAATGTATATATCATGTTCTGCTTTGTTCGTAAAGAAAAAGCGGAAGTTGTTCAAACACCAGCCATTGGGCATGGGGATGGTGTTGGTTCCTATTTATAAGAGATTCTTCTCCGTTTATGATGTAGGCGCTCATGGCAAGCTAGTAATGTGCCCACACGTGGTAGAGGGTGGTGTATAGCACGAACCCAATAGGGACATTGTGTGGAGCAGAAGTTGGCGTGCAACACGGGCCCAATGACATGGTTGCACGTGGCGACCTTGGGTGGCCACACTCATAAGGTCGGACTGCATTCTGGTTGTCCAGGCTTACCTACCTCCAGGCGATTTCAAGTATAAATAGGGTGTGACCCCTAAGGTGAGGGATCTAAACACACTCCTACTTGAAATTCAATTATTTCCATTGCGGCCTTGTCTGACCTATCCTAACTAGGGGTGAGCATAATACAATTGAAATCAAATACCAAAAATTCGGTTTTGGTGTTTTTGATTCAATTATTTCAAAAAATCGGTTTGATTTCGGTTTTAAAAATTGGTTTGCCAAACTTCGGTTTTCGATTTCGGTTGTGACATTTAGTAGTTCGGTTAATCGAAAAAACCGAACTTTTAGGGGGTAAATCGGTAAACAGGCAGATATAATGAAGTCCAAAGGTTATTAGCCTTTGGTCAAAATCCAAAAAACTGAACTTTTAAGGGTAACTTGATAAATATAAAAATATAGTGAAAAGCCAAAAGGTTATTAGTCATGGGCCAAAACCCATTATTCTTTAACCATCGACCTTCATCTTCCTCTAACTTCTAAAGACTATAAAGCCTTGAGTCCCTTGCAGCGGTGAGCGTCTTTGCATTTGTGCGAGCAAAGTAGCAGCAAACTATGAGTTCTAGCTCCAAAGTCCAACATCCAACAAACTAATTTTTCCGGTAGGCAGCCACAAGTGATAGAGTCCGGCAAGTCTTCTTTAGTCTTTAGTTTTTCAGTTCATTTTAGTCCCCTCCCTGTTTTCTTCTTAGCAATTTGAATTTCTAAGTGCAAGTGTTTTTTTTTTTTTCTATTTTTCCCTTTTAATCTTCAGTTCTTCCTGATATTTTTGTTAGCCGTCGAATCTGAATTGTGGAAATTTTTAGCCACCGCCCACTGGATTCTTTAGTTTTTAAATGCTTTGCTTAAACTTTGTAGTGTAAATTTCAGATGCACTTGCACAAATGTGTAGGAAAGATCTAGAGTAGCAACCAAATTCAGTTTTAACTGAATCAACCGAAGTAATCAAAAAAACAATTTCAGTTCGGTTTGTTCAATTTTGGTTCGGTTTTTCAAATAGGTATATCGATTTTTGAAAATTCGGTTTATTCAGTTCGATTTTAACTGAACAACCGAATGCTCACCCCTAATCCTAATTTAGGCCTCGTCCACTTCCTATCACACTCAAGTTAATTTATCGTCGGAGTCTCCACCTTGGACTACCACCCGGGACCTCTAACGTGTTATCTTCCTCTGCAGGAATGACCTACAGGCCCTTGGCCATTGTAGACCTCGGACTTATCAACCAGCTCTTGTCTCAGAAACATAATTATCTTATTGCCCTTGATCCATCCAATGCAGCAACAGTTTCCTTTTTTTTTTTTTACTATTTCATGCATAAAACCTTACCATTGGGTTGAAACCTGCACCAGCTCACTCAACACTAAATCCCCTATTCGTATTCCTATTGATAGGCACACAAGAAAACCCCCTTCAATCACAAAGACAAAGAACAAAACAGGCTTGAGCGTATTGTGGAATTTTATTTGATTTTTCAAAAAATGTAGAAGGCAATATAATTAAAAGGACTAACCTGTTAAAAGGTTTTGACCAGAATGACGCAGGTGAGGGAGATGGAGGCGGAGAGAGAGGAGCTGCCGAACAGGACAGTATGGGTGTGACAGGAATAACGTCTGTGAGGGAAACAGACGGAGATGGAGGAGTTGTTGAAGCGGGACAGTGTGGTTGACAATTTGTTAGAAAATGGGTATTTTAAGAATTTAAAAAAAATATATCAATTACATCATGTCACATGTGACGGAATGTTACGGAAAACTAATGTCTTAACGGCAAGAAAAGTTTTAGACAATTATTAAAGAATTTAAGAGTACTACTTTAAGACATTATATAACAGTAAAAGTAAATTTAATCAATTTCCTACATCATAAGGGCATTTTAAGAAATTTGTCCAAACTGCAATAAGGAGATCTAGGTCGAATATACATCTTGACCTTACAACTTTGTCTTGCCTTGCATTCAACTATTTGTCATCGAGTATTTTAATATATAACATATATATGTTATTTATTTACTTATTTATAAATATATTTATATTGTATTTTTGTAATTTTTTTATAAAAAATATATATATATATATATAATGAAAATAGCTGAAAAATATGGATAAAATACAGAAAACACCCTTAATGTTTTTGACAATCATAAAAACCTCTCTTATAGTTTTATTTTAACAAAAATCTTCCCTGAATTTTTAAAGAATTTGACAAAAACCTCATTTATGTTATTGACCTAGACAGAATGTTAAACTGATGCATAAACCTTTTCCAAATACCCATTTTACCTTTTTGTAAAATAGCTCGTGTTCAAGGTGTCCAAATACAAAATTTTGCCACATCAGCCACAATGAGTCGGACATGAATTTCGCTGCTTAAGTATCCAATTCCACTAAGATTTCAGAAGCAACTTTCTTCTCTTCTTATCTAGTTCCTAGAAATCTCTTGTTTTTAAGAAAACTTTGGGTCTTCCGAACTTAAAAGATATTTCTTAAACTCCTTCACTTGCAAAGCTGAGTTTGTTGTATTTGCCCGTAATTAGAACTAGAAGCCGGCTCCAATGAATAACCAAATTAATTGACCTTCATTTATATGCATAAATGACAAATTCATTTCGTTTATTCTTTCTCCATACCTTTTTTTTTTCCTCATGTAGATTTATCTATCAAATAACTTCTGCTCTCATTCATTGATTAATTTCACTGTTAGATCTCTATTCCATTTTCAGTTTTACTCGTGTTAGTACTTTTGTAGTAAAATAAAGATTTGCTTGATTCTGTTTCTTTATATAAATCAGCACTGTTTAGTAAAATAAAAATTTCCTTGGTTCTCTTTCATTATCTTCTGTTTGGGTTAATGATAAAAGGGAGATTTTTGTTGAATTTTTTAAAAATTCAGGGGAGGTTTTTGTTAAAGTGAAACTAGATAGAATATTTTTATGATTGTCAGAAACTTCAGAAAAGATTTTTGTATTTTACCTTATTTGTTTTTTTATATAAACTGTTATATTTTTTCTTTTAATAATCTATTTAACTTTTCAAAAATTAGTTCGGATTTGAATATTCGACAACCGGATTAAGATTCGAATCCGATCCGATTTATATATAAGAATAACTTATATTCCGCCACGTGTACCGCATCTTCGAAGAATAAACCTCGAGCATGCTTTCAGCCGCTGCTCGTTCGTTAGAATCTCCATACGGAGGAGCACCAACAGAGTGAGAAGGAGAGAGAGAAGGTCTTCGATTGCCGAAAAGTCAGTTTCTCTGTCAGATTTCTTGCTGTAGTACAAAAAGATTTTTATTCTTCAATTGCCGGAAAAATCAGTTTTCTTAAGAATTATGTTTTTGTTTATCGCAGAACACTTGTTTTCTCGCCGGAAAAACAGTCTGTGTGCATATTTACTCCGGGGGAGAATCATTTGCGCCGGGGCTCTGATTACTTGATACGAGCCATCTTTCACTTAGATTTTCCAATCAAGGGAGAAGGAACTTTCTATATTCTATTGAGAAAAAAGCCTAAGCGAAGGATCCTTCGGTGGAAGAGGATTTTCTTTTCATTTTCCTTTTGCTTGGTAAGGGATTTGTGTGGTGACGGTCATGCCGTATCTGGTGCGCGATCGTCTGTTCATCGGCAACATCAGTGACGCTGCCGAAATTCTGCAGAACGGGAGCACTGAAATCACACACATTCTATCACTTCTCAGCTCGGCATCCATCTCATTCTTTACAGAATGGCGGTCCAGTCTATCCATTCCTTCAAAGGAAATCCGCAAGGTTTTTATTGGAGAATCTGGAAACGCTTCGACCTCTGAAGAGGATGTTGGTGAAGGTTGTAAGAAGTCGCTGCCACGTGAGAAACTTCTCTACTCGCTTGAGTATGCCGGAAAGGATTTGAAGCTGGTAAGAATGGCGGTTCCTTTGAGAGACACGGAGAACGAGGATTTGTTGGATTACTTGGATGTGTGTTTAGATTTCATTCACGAGAATAGAAAAGAGGGGGCGGTTTTGGTGCATTGCTTTGCAGGAGTGTCAAGAAGGTATCTACGTTCGATTCCTCTGATTGAGTTTGTTCTACTTGTACGTTAAAATCTTCTTTGTGAGTTTGTTTTGCTTTTCTATTTTTAGGATTTCCATTTTGGGGTTTCCCCCTCTTTTCTTGTTTTAGATGCAAGTTGTTGTTTTCTCATATGCTTATTGAGTATTGACATTCCTCTAAAAAACGAGTATTGACATTGTAAAATGTGGCTTGTAGAGTATCAGTTATTACTCATCAGAAAAAACGCTAATGCTAGAATGTAGCCTATAGGGTTTTATCTTTTTCTCATGTGAAATGATGGCTTGAATTTGTAACCAATCTGAACAATCATTTTTATTAACAGCTAGGTGAACAATCTTTGCAGATAACCTTTAAAGTCATTGCATATTGCTATCAAGGGATACCTGACTTGAGACGTTTGTAGATTCAAATTTAACTTCCCTTCTTTATACCTGTTGGTTATATGCAGAGGACATCTGAAATTTTACCTTTTATCTCATCCAATTGAAGTGATGTCTCTTAGGCCAGTAAATAATTGTAACCATATGAAGCATTAAATTATTTTGCAAACCTATGGTGAATTGAGAAATTGTTGTTAGAGTTAACCATTCATTGTCATTGGAATAGTTGCTAAGGCATTGCCTAAGCGGTGCAACAAGACATCCAAATGAACACCATGGCTTATATGAAAAAGGTGGTGCCCTTGGTTGGTTGGATGGCTTATTGTAATATTATTAGTTTATTACTACGACCGCATGTTATTACTGTGTGTGTTAATACATCCTATTATGTATTGTTTATGTTATTTATGTTTTACTTAATAATTTTACAATTAAAACATAAAAAATTGAGGGATTTTAAGAAGACAAGGACTAAGAGGTTACTTCTTTTTTCTACAATTTCTTTTCTCCCTCTCTCTCTTACATTAAATAGAAAAAGGCTCTTCTCCTTTTTCCTTTTTCCCTTTTTGTTACTCAATTGCTTAATTTATTTTATTATATTATTATCCTTCTTTAGTTTCTAATAAGTTTTTGACCTACAGTTCCTCTATTGAATACTTATTATGTTATAGTTTTGCTTTTGAATATTAAAATTAATTGATTCAAATTACTATTGTCTTCTAGATGCAATGGTTTGCTATATTATGAGAGAAAAATTGATGTTATTAATAAAGAGTATTGCTATTTTCAATTAACACACATGTTGATGGAATGTAAAACTACGGAACTAGCCTATACTTGTAGTGTTTTCTTTGTAAAATTCTATTGTCTAGGGAACTAGGTGCTCCATTAGCATCTAACATTGCCTAGATGCCTTGACAACTATGGTCTTTGCCATTAAACTTGATGGACTGACTATCTATAATCACATGTTTTGAATTGTCAGTTCATATTTCCTCATTGAATCACTCTATTTAATGCACACATTAGTGAACATAAAATGTTCTTGTAATTCACAGCTTGCTCAAAAAAGAAAAAAAAATCATGGCTTGTCAAGGATGCTACTGTTGGCATTTTTTTGGATAAAAAATGGATTTCTTGTTGGAACTGTATTCCAGTTCTGGTGTACTGTGTCCCCAGGGATAAGGGTTGTCTCCACTTTTGATCAAAGTTGCAGCCTTGCTACTGTTGTGTGTCTGATACTGTAGAGGAGCAGCATGCTATGAAAGGTGTTGCCACATGCTGTTTTGTAATGCATTTGGAGTATAAGAAAAGAAAGGAGTGGAAGAAGAAAAGACTACCTTAGAAAAAAGAAAAGGAAGGAGTGCAAGAAGAAAAGACACACAACAGCCTTGCTACTGTTGTGTGTCTGATACTGTAGAGGAGCAGCATGCTATGAAAGGTGCTGCCACATGCTGTTTTGTAATGCATTTGGAGTATAAGAAACAACCTTTTGGATAAGGTGGTATGCCAGGCTTCCATATGAAGGAAGTATGTTCTTGCACCTTCAAGAAATATCACACATGAAAGAAAACTAGCAAAAAGAGAGAAAGGGACAAAAGAAAAAGAGAAAGAGTAAATAAAAAACAAGTGATGAAGAGATAAAGATATTAATGGTGTTTCCACCAAAAGATAGAAAGAGGACTCTTCCTCAATGCATGAACCCCAAGAATTGTGGAAAGTCAAACTTCATTTGAAATGACAAAATAACTCCAAAATGAGGGGGTCTTGTGAGGGGTAGAGTGGGTACGGTTCTAACCTTAGGCATTTGTCAAACAAAGTGGCCGTCCTCAGACTCGAACTGCATTCTCATCCTTTCCAACCCAAGATTTTACCATTATACTAAGTATCAATGAAACAGTGAAACCCCTTTAAGGTATCAGATCTATATATCATTGCTGTCCAGTTGGAAAGATTGACTTGTAATGGCAATACCAACCTGAGCTTTACAAAGTGACTGCAAGAAGATGAAGATGGAGAGGTTCGAAACAGTGGGTAGATGGAGAAAGGAAGCATCCCTTGAAGCAAAACTCTTTAAGTTTGAGGAAGTGAAATCAAGGAATCTGGTGTCGTTGAATGTGGTCGTATGGTTAAAAGGTTTTCTGGACGTTGCCATAGTTTCAAGAAGATCCCAGAATTGGAAGAACAGTATGAAATTAAATGGTAAGATGTTTGAAGCAGAACAACGGTTTAATAGGAAAGGGTGGTTCATCACAGTTACAGAGTGGTTTGGGCTAGGCAAGAAACAGATGATATGCATCCCATGTGGAAACCAGAGTGAAGGTTGGATTATGGTTGCGAAAGAACTACAGGATTTTTTGTGGAGAAATATGGAACAGTCAAGGCAATCCCAGGCCAACAATAGTGAACTCTTCCAATCAAAAATAGGTTCAGGAAAGGAAAAGGGCTGGAATGAAAAATACGTTGTCTCAGCAACAAAGAAGGTGGCCAAATGGGGTTCGATAGCAGAGGAACTAAAACAGAAATTGAATTTCGAAGGGTCCTTCTACCTGCGACTGTTCCAAGCAGATAAGGCCCTGTTAGAAGTGGGAAGGATGGTTGGGGAGGTTCATGCTCTCCCTATTCAGACTTCGGAAGGAATAATGGTAGTTAGCCAGTGGACATCGAGTGCAAATCGTGTAGACCAAACAGAAGTTTTCAGGCTGAAAGTGGTTGGGCTTCCGTTCCATTTATGGTCCTCTGAAACTTTCACGCAAATCGCATCCCAGTGTGGTGGCGCCTTGGAAGAGCTGGACACTTCAAATCTCAGTGCGGCTGTAAGGGGTGTGAGAGGGATTAAGGTGGAAGAAGTTCCAAGAACAGTGAAGTTGGGAGTCGGAGATTCTCAATCCGTGGTGTGGCTGCTATCATCGGTGGAGGAGAGATATCTGTGGGAGGTTGAAGATGATGACGTGGCAAGGGTCAAAGAAACAAAGAAACTTGACCATTTTTGCAAAACAAAGGCAAGTGAACAGTCACTCAGTTCGAAAGTGGGATTTCAGGGCACTAAGGAAAATCTTTGTTGTGAAATATAGAGGGAGAAAAGAAGAAGATTTTCTTTATTGATCAAAACATATTGAGCATACACCTTAAATAAGAAAAGATAGGAAAGACAAAACCCCTAGAATTTCTCTCAATCAGGGATTGACTAAATCTTTCCCTTAATCCTAGGATGTGACTTTCCTAAATTTATTCAAATCTAATATTTCCTAAATTTATTCAAATTAAATCATATCTTTCTTAATTTGCCGCAAATTCTGTCTTTCTTAATTTTCCGACACTCCCCCGCAAGTTGGTGCAAAGATATCTATCATGCCCAACTTGCTAACTTGAAGTTCAAATGGCTGTCTCAACAAGCCCTTAGTCAAAACATCTACAACTTGCTGCGTGGTTGGTACAAACGGAGTGCAGATTATTCCTTCTTCAAGCTTCTCCTTTATAAAGTGTCTGTCAATCTCAACATGTTTAGTCCTGTCATGTAGAATCAGATTATGAGCAGTGCTGATAGCTGCCTTGTTATCGCAATATAGTTTCATAGGAAAGCTCATTGATATCTTAAGATCTGCTAGCACCCTCTTTAGCCAAAGAACCTCACACACTTCTTGAGCCATTGATCTGAATTCAGCCTCAACACTACTTCTAGCAACTACACTTTGCTTCTTGCTTCTCCAAGTAACTAAATTGCCCCAAAGAAATGTGCAGTACCCCGAAGTTGACCTTCTATCAATGATCGAGCCTGCCCAGTCTGCATCTGTATACACCTCAACCCCTCTGTTCTCATTTTTCTTGAAGAAGAGTCCTTTTCCTGGTGTGCCTTTTAGGTACTTAAGAATTGGATACACAACTTCAAGATGTTCTTCGTACGGGGAGTGCATAAATTGACTCACCATACTCACTGCAAAGGCAATATCAGGACGTGTATGTGACAAGTAAATCAATMTTCCTAMCAGCCTTTGGTATCTTCCTGTATCTACTGGAACCCCATCTTTAACTTCTCCAAGTTTAG